GCGCACTTGAAGAGCCTGCTCCTCACCAACGCCTTGTTAACGCTCTTTGTCCATCCGGCAGATCTATAGAAGTACAGGGACTAAAATTTCCAAGCTCTCGGTCATCACTAGGAAGGAACACTCAATCTGGACGCCTTGATGCACCACTCAAAGATTCCGGTCTAAAGCTCGTAACTCCTGCAGTACGACCCCACCATCATAATGAGAGATTCACCCAGACAACTCACCCGACAACACACGGCTGGTCTTAATCTATCCTTAGTCATCCGGTAGATCTCTGCAGTACAATCGCATTGGGGGTGTCGCAAGACACCATCGTCACCGGAAATCTCATGGAACGGCCAACTTGGCCATCTAGCAAGATCACTATTGATGATGGAGATCAAAATCAGAGAGATACTATCGAGTAATATTATACTGCTGCAATGCATCCGAGCGCACTTATTCCACCTCAGGTTCCTCCACCAGCTATCAGAGAAGGATTTCGACATTTTTCTAGATCCAAGCACCACTCCATATCTTTGGCCCGAGAGACAGTCAAATCCGTCGCAATAATAACATCAAACGTAATAAGTTTACTGCAGCCGATGCTCCGCGAGAGAACTGTGCTTAGCTGGGAATCTCAACCTGAGATGATCTATAGCGATCAGGCTCTCCCCACACCCTTTCTCTGAGCGAAATCCCGCCATCGTGTGAGACCATAAATGACCAACAGGAAGTATAGCAGCTGGGCTATCTAGGAAATGGCAAGTCAAGTCTGCTTGTTATTATGAATGATCAGGTGCTTCAAGACATCGCCATGATGCTTAGTCAGGGCCGAATCACGGGTCAGGACTGTGATCATAACGTTATCCATACGACCGTGGATCCAACTAGCATCACAGAGGAGCTGGAGGGTGAGGATGGCTCCTCTACCGATGGTGCAGAGGATAATCCGAAAAAGGGCCGAGGTGGTGCGATTACCTGGCATAAACGGATGACATTCGATGACGAAGACTCAGCTGAAATGTGGATAGAGAATAACACCTACGGTATCATGAGGTAAGCGCTCTCTTCTACGTATCTCTGCTAGTCGCTCTTAACATGGAGGTAATACTACTCGTTGATTCTCAGGGTTAATTATAGCAAAACCTATGGATATAAGCGACATTTTTACTGCACTGCTTGTGGCAAACCAGCTTCACACAGCGAAGATTCTCGTTTATCCATCGAGGCTGGACATCCTCCAGTAGGAGAGCAGATATACCTTCACTATGATATGAGATCTACTAAAGTCGTCCTATACTCCAATAATGGCACGCATGTCCATCGGCAAACTCCGCGGAATGGACTTAGTGATACAGTGAAAGAGTTTATTGAAAGAAAGGTACGGGAGGCTGTGGTTGATCTTCCAACAATATGGGATAAACTGCAGCGGCGGATCTCAAAAGGAAAGATAACAGCCGGCGAGAAGCCCGAAAACAAGCAACAAGTAAGACTTACTCAGCGATTTCCAATATCCATCCTTTCTCCTAGGTGAAGAACTATCTTGGGAGAGTGAAGAAGGCCACGAACGGGGGATCAATGCAGACTACCATGAATGATCTTATAGCCATGGCCCAGTCGAATTCTGCTGTGCCCAACCATCACGAACGCGACAAAGCTTTTGTGGTAGGTGGAGGAAAGTGTTACGAGGAATTGCATGTTTTAACGATGTCTAAGAATGCGCTCCTGTAAGAGTTGTTGAAATACTCAACGCGATGAATATTGAAATTATCAGAAACAGATATTTATTTATTTATTTTCATTTTGGGGTGCCAAAATGTTCAGCACCACGGATATTTCGAGTTTCACACAATATACGTCGAAACGGTAATCGTGATGAATGGTAAAACCTTCCATAATCTCTCGACGACTCGCACCGCATCAGATTGACTGATTCGACGGAATTTTGAATGAAATACGTATGTAATAATACGAGAGGGAGAAGCGGCATTTAGCAAGACTCCCGACTTGGAAAATCCTCCAATTAAACTTCGGGCACTTTCAACATAGGACTTCCTATAATCCAAGTAGTGCAACTTAGGTTCACTCTCAATTCCGAGATGGCGCATTCCAGATTGTATTCAGCACGCGCCGATGTATCGAGGCTTCACGCCGAGCCGTTATGCTGTGTACCGATGCAACATATAAGCTCAACTTCCATGGGTTTCCAATATTAACCCTGGCTATGGCCGATTATAGGAACCACATTTTTCTTGTGGCATTAGCTCTATCATAGAGCCTCTATGTGGGAACGAACGCAGTGGTGATTATGGAGAATTATTCCGATCACTCAAAATCGGAGCCACGAAGCTGGGAATTCCTCTCCACTCACCTCGTTTTGTGATGGGCGACGGGGCTCCTTCTATAACGAGGGGAGCAGCCGAAGTATTCCCTGCTGCTGTTCGGGTCATGTGTTGGTTCCACATGAAGCAGAATGTCGAGAAGTACCTGAAGGGAGGACAGGTTGATGATGATGCAGCGTGCAATATCTTACGCGATCCATCCTACATTCAGCTTGCTTTAACTGAACAGGCATTCGTGGGGATGTTCGAGCTTTTTGCAGCACAATATAGCAGGGGGTTCTTACAAGTAGTTGAGTATATACGGGAAAGCTGGGTCGAGAACCCACCATATAACACTTGGTGGGAGGGGGCAGCTCCTCGCCTTCCCTCTACCAATAACGGGCTCGAGTCTATGAAAAACCAGCTCAAAATAAAAACACTCCGCGAGAAACTTCCACTCGGCACATTCGTGGCAGTAGTGAATAACAAAGTGCTTCCAGGCTATAGCCAGGCACTGGACGATACAGGAGGGCATAATGAGAGGATCTATGAGTCTCTAGACTCTAGAGTCTCTAGAGTCTAGAGAATGTTTACGCCTCGAAATCTTTGTTCGCCGCGGCAGCATGTTGGGCGTCGACTGAGGCTATGCATATAATGCAGCTACCTGGGTCGGAGGGAACATATGTCTTCATGCGATCCCGGGGGCCAGCCAAGTCCTACCTATCTCTAGCCAACATCCAGAAGTATCTTGCAACACTCTGCGGGTCATATGTTCATTCGACATTCGCTTCAATGGTGGCTTTGATGAACAAGATATATATGGTCACGATCCCTGCAGGGTCGACGAACTGGCGCCACTTTCACTGCAGCTGCCGGCCATTCCTAAAGCAGAAGACATGCCAACATTGTATTGCAGTGGGCATCAGACGTGGATATTTAAACCAAGAAGATAGATTCTCTATGCCTCTACAGAAGAATCCGAGGAAGCCCGGGCGCCCTGCAAAAGCTCAACCAGCCCTGGCAAGGAGTTTCACATTAGATGCCGCAGCGCAGACTCGCTTCCTTCTTTCTGAGTACTTATTATAGTCGAATCTTATACTTTTTCTCATATTCTCTTATTGTTATTCTCATAGACTAACGACAATCTATTAATCTCGAGGCCATGGTAATAAGTAATGGCTTTAGGGCCTAGTAGCCCGGCCTACAATGATTGTAGTACAATCTCTGATCTATCGTGCTCATAGAAATTGCGCATAACTTGTTCCGTAGTTAAACCCAGTTTCTTGC